CATTCATTCAGGTAAACAAAAAGCTGACTGTTCAAAACTGGAGTGTCTTCTTTTTTATGATTAAAAAAAAATATCTGTATGGAAAAGTATTCACATTTAGGTGTATTTTATTTTATGATTTCATGTCCTCTTTATTTGAAGGAAAGTTCACTATATAAACCAACTGTTTTACCTCTGTTATCTGTTTTGACCTTCTGTAAAGATTTGTTTTATTTTTATTTTTTTTATTTTTTTATAACTTACACATAAGTGCACAGATACAGTACATACAAATAAACTTGTAGAAAAAAAGCTATGATACATATCATGATGATATATAAGTTTATATATGTAAAATGGTGTAATATTGATAACTAATTACTCATAATGAACATAACTGTAAAAAGACAAAAAAGTTAAATAAAATAGAATAAAAATGGAAAAATCCGATGTTATTTGTTTTGAAGATCTTTTATTATTATTTTTTTAAATAAAATATAATAAAAGTAGAATAATCCTCTGTTATTTGTTTGAGAGCTCTTGTTATAAAAATAATAGAAAAAAAAATGTAGAGAATAAAATAAGATAAAAATTGAATGATGCTCTGTTATTCGAATAAAAGCTCTTAAAGCTCTCTTTAAATCTCTAAAAATCAATAAATCATCTGCTATTTATTTCAAAGCCAGATTTTTGAGTAAGATTTTTAAATAAAAAATGGAATAATATAGAATAAAAACGGAATAATCAATAATAATAATTTGTTTTAAAGCTCTTTTCATGGGTTTAAAATAAAGATAAATAAATAGGTATTATAAATAGATAAATGTGTCAGCTGTCCGTGTAACAGACAGACGTCATAGAGGCTCTGTGTCTGCTTTGACTACCAGAGATAACAGGACAGAAACTTGTATCAGTGTTATCGTAGACACAGTCCACAGTGCTGAGTGACATGTGAGTCTCATATTAACAGCAGACAGTGTTGAGGACTGAGACCACACACACTGTGGACACACAGTCACTTCACACTAAACACACACACTAAAAAGAGTCAAAGCTTCTCTAAGTCTAGTGTAGTGTAGTGTAAAAAGTACTCAAGAAAACTACAGAAACATTTATTATTATGGTCTCATAACTTTAGAAATAAGGAGGATTTCTACGTGTGTGTGTGTGTGTGTGAGTGTGTGTGTGTGTTTAATTAAATAAGAATAGTGACATGTTTAACTGTCAGGAAAACATATTGGCCAATCTCAGGCACTCTAATAATAACCCTTATGAGAGGACAACGGGGTTGAACATTTTGAGCTCATTAAGTCTCAGCTCTGTGAGTGATCCAGATTTAGCTGGCGAACCTTTTACATATGAACAAAAATTTTATATCTAATACAATTTTACTTTTTTTTTAATGGGACCAACTTGATTTTTATACTTTAGCCCTAAACAGGGTCAGACTCAAAGAGTGTGATGAACAGATTAACATCATGAAACATGAGTGAAAGTTAATGCTCACCAAACATTACTCCTTAAAGTTCCCTCCAAAAAATTGATGTCACTTCCTGAAAATGGTCTCAATGGAATTGTTGTCTTGTTTTTCCTTTTGTAGGAAGCCAGAAACGACAAACTAAAAGGTGGAAAATGACTTCAGGGACACACAGTAGGCTAAATGGTGAAAATTTAAAAAAAAAAGAAGAAAAGATGAAAAATAAAATAACGATATGAATGAATGAATAAACAAAACAAATAAATAAATAATAAATACATAAATAAGATAACAATAATAATAAATAGATAGATAGATATCTATAATTTAAGGTATTTGTTATAAACATTTGACACATTTTAAAGAACATACAAAGAAGTCATTTGCAGGGACAGAAATGTTTCTGCATTATAGGAATGACCCATTAAATTAACTATGAGGAGAACAGATTTTATGTGTGTTCATTTATTTATGTTTTATGTTAGTTTTTTTATCATGTTATGCATTATTTTCTCTGTTGCTATGTAATTTACTAAATTGATTTTAACACCTAATTTTTGCCTCTACTTTTTATTCAACAAAGTCAGTCTGACCAAAAATGCAGCATATAAAATAAAAAATAAATAGGTAACATAAACAGGCTGTAGAGTAACTGTTGAGTGCTGCAAAAGTATATTCAGTTAAGATGCACATGTCAGGATTTGAGTTTTAAATTGATCCAAATACTGTCAAAGCAGTTATTCAAAAGTAAAAGCATATCCTTTGTCAATATGTGAGAAGAGATTTAAAAATAATCCACAAATGAATCACAAACATATTAAACATTATAAAATGTACTTTAGAAAAACTATAAAAGACTAATCTTATCAAAAGTAGAAGTACAGCTTCTCAGTTTTTATTTGGTTTTATTTCTCATAATTGCTGCAACAGACCTATTTGGGCTCTGTTGTAATATCATTTTCCTGTAATTTTCTGAAAAATAAAAACACAAATTATCTTATCATTATCTTGGTTTCTTTTTTTCTGTATTCAAAGCTTTATTAAGATATAGCATAAAAACATTTTTAGGACCAAAAAATGCAAACATAAACAAGCAATAAAACAACTTTCTAGTGCTACGATATTCATTTAGGATGCTTATTTTGTATCAGTATTTAAATTTTCAGAATGATCTCTATAAGTTAGAAACAATTTACTAAAAGCATTTGTCAAACCACTGGACTTTTCTTTGCAGGTTTGCAGGTTGAAGATAACTGTGCTGTGTTTAGGGGTGCAGGTTAAAGATGACTGCATTGTGTTCTGTAGGTCAGTCAGTCGTAATAAAAGGCTGTTGGCTCTCTCTAGTGGTCAGACTATGTAACTGCAGCTGGTTACACAACAAACACACAAACAGGTCAGAAGTCCAAAGGTCAATTATATCTGCATGTTGATTAACACACAACAGGTGAAAGATACTGAAGTACATTTACTCAAGTTCTATACTGAGGTACAGTTTTAGGTACTTTACTTGAATATTTATCATATTATGCTATTCTATATTCTTTTACTTGATTCCTATTTTTTTCTTTTCTTTTCTTTTCTTTTCTTTTCTTTGCAGGCTCAGATTAATAACACAAATATAATACAACCAACAAAAAATGATAATGAATTATTGTAGTTTAAGATAAGACATTCAAACTTTAATAAACTACCCAGCTGCATATTAAGTAATTTAAATGAGGTCCACCTTTACCAGCTGCAACATTAAAGTAATGAACAAATTATAATTATGACAAAATTATTCTGAAATAAGCTATTCTGCATGAGCATTTTACATTTAGCATATTTTGATGGTAATACTTTTGGACTTAAGCACAATTTTGAATGCATGATTTCCATATGTATTTCTACACTGTGGCAGAGGTGGGAGAAGTAGGGGAGAACAGAGTTGGTTGTCACATTTATTAGTGTTGTTACTGTTTTAAAATGTGGGTCCTGAAATTAAGGTCAGAGGTTACCTACATGGTCATGTCAGGAGAGCCAATGCTCTTGTGAGCATTTATATTTGTGCAATGGTGTGTCTTTGTAACTCCGCAGTTACACCTCCAACACACTTATCTATGGTGGGGGTTTTGTAAAGTGCTGTAAAGTCTAATTAAAGTCTGATTAAAAATACACCTAAAACACACATTAAACATGACTTAATAGGAATAAAATCAAACACAATTCAACAAATTGGCTTCATTGTAACTTAGAAAGTTTACAGACAAAACAATCATCTTAAATGAGACACATCTTTTACATTTTACATCGCATAAATCAGCCTAGTGTCTAGCTGAGTTGTGGCTACCCCTATGAAGCTAGGATAAGTCACACACAAGATTTAAAATGTTATTTTGTGGAGGCTTTATTGTCTTCACAATTCATTTTTTCTTATCTGTGAAATAAGAGTAAATAAAAGCTCTATTATAAACACTGAAACTACAGTGTTTTGTGATCAATGATTCTGATCTGATGGATTTGAAAATAATGATTAGTGACACCTTCAGTGGTTTTGAATATGCTTTTATTGTTAGTAGAAAGATTCAGCATTAATAAAAGATACTAAAGAAAAAAAGGAATATAATCACATTAGTTTTCATCCAAAAATAAAGAATGAAGATTAAACACATTTTATATCCAGACTGAGAGGAGGATGTGAGGTCTGACTGTTCTAAGAATATCATAGATAATTATTGATTGAAAGACGTTATGATTAATTAATATTTCATATTGGCTCATTCTGTCAGAGCGGAGATGTGATTGAGGAGAGCTGCTGCCAAACTCACTCACACTGATCCAGCTGGGACCACCTCAAAGTTTTTTGCTCAGTTTTTAAATTTCATTTCTGTTAAAAAAAGGTTTAGTTTTATTTAAATTTACTGATTAAAAGATGGTGTTGAACCAAAGAAGCTTCCAGAGCTGATTTTTTTTACCCTTGTTCCAGTTGTAAACTATATGGCAAAAAGTATGTGGACACCCTCTGTTCCAATCACATGTGGCAGGACCATTAGGATGTCCATAAACTTTTGCTTTGTAGGTTCATTATCCAACACCGTGTTTATGCTGTATTTGATTGGCTATTTTAAAATTATCATTATCAATTACCGTTATATATCATGTAAATATATCATGTAATGAATCTAAAATATAGATTTTACATGTAACCTCAGATCACTGTATCAATTAAAAAACAAACAAATCCCACAATTTCTCAAATCTGCCCAATAATTTTTTTTAATTCCAGGTTTATGCATTTTAAGCATACTGTTACCTTTAACCCTTGAGCTTCCTCACTAAACTAGCTAAGGTAATTTTAAAATGTCACACAAAACCCCCTGAGTCTGTTAAGCAAAGATATAAAGATATATATAAATAAAATTAAGGAAGAAATCAAATCATCATCAAAGATGTCATTTGCACGGTTTGTTGGCTCTGCCCGCTCAGTTTAAAGCTTCTGTGATTGGTGGAGGCGTGGTGAAAATGGAGATGGGGCAGCGTCACCTAGCTCTGTGAGCCAATCATTTCAGGGCATGATGAGGACATGAGCAGATCCCCTCACCTGAAAAAGAGAGAAGAAAAGGGTTTATTATGGTGGCCATTTTAGGACAAAAGCTGAATTTTGTCAGACTTAGCTGAATGCTAACATGTTAAAATGTTGAATTAGCTATACACAAATTAAACACTGTACAAAAATAAAACAAAAAGATAAGCAGCATGTCAACAACTGCTCAGTCTTATACTGATGTTAGCATAGAAACATGATAGCACAACCACAATATGCTAATATGGTAATGTTTAACTGATTCATCCAAGCTTTGGTTTTAGTACTGATTTTAGCATAGGCCTATTAGCAACACCAGCATGTTAAATTTTACAAAATATTGGCATGCTAATGTCTAGTGTGTAACACGCCGTGTGCTGAATGTCAACGTTTGTAAATGTTATGTTTTCATATGTTTGTTAACAGTTTTGGGATGTTGAAATGTAGCATTAAGCCTATTAGCAATCATGTTTAGATGCTAATTGTCAGCATTTCTATCCTATGTCTATTTGTAGACATTTTGCTAATATTTGGTGGGTTTATGCTTTGAGCTAAATGCTAAATTTAGCATATATTGAAATGCTTTCATTCTTTCATTAATTTTCTGTAATGCTTATCTGATTTGGGGTTGCAGGGGGGCTGGGAAACGAGGTACACCCTCTACAGATTATTGCAGGCTCACATTCACACCTACGACCAATCTAGAGTCACCAATTAAGCTTTGGACTGTGGGAGGAAGCTGGAGAACCCGGAGAAAACTCACAATGACACAAGGAAAACATGCAAACTCTGCCCAGAAGGCCTCCCCCACCTAATATGCTTACAGAGTATTAAATATCAGAAAACATTGAAATGCTAATTTTAGCATGTAAAATGCCATGGGCTAGTAATGCTAACCTTTGCACGTGTCATGTTATTAATATAGGCTAACATTTTTGTTAACACTTTTAGGAGGTTATTATGTAGCAATAACCCTATTAGCAAGCAAAATGCTGTGTGTACACATTTATATCCTGTCTATTTGTAGACATTTTACAATCTGGTAGATTTAGTAGCTGTGCTTATATAGTGAAATGCCTACAGTTGAGTAGCAAGATAAGACTGTAGGACACGACAAAGACATTTAAATAATGGTGAAACGGAATGAATTGGTAATATACTGAAAATAATTTCTGTCCACATGTTGGGATGTATATAATGGTTGCACAGACCACTGGCGCCATCTGCAATGCTGCCTCAGTTAAAAGGATCAAATCATCTCCACGGTTACCTGGTTTGTAGTCAGAAACGTTTGATTCCGCCCTTTAGTACCATCTACTGGCTGAATCTATGCCATCATAAAGGTCTAATGGAAGTACGAGGGCAGCCATGTTTGCAATGTTTGAAACGTACCTATCTCATTTCATTCTTAAGGGGAGTATAAACGAGCCTTAAGAGGGATTCAGAATTTTTGGGCTGCCTGAACAACAGGCAGTCCCCCAAGATGGTGCCCCTGTCTCACACAGATGTAACTTTATATTCTGTAGGCCTATATAACACCAAGTAGTGCATGTTTATTTGTCAGTCAAAGTTAACAGCTGTGGGTTGTCAAGCACATAATGCACTACATTTTGCTAATATCTAATAGGTTTATGGCTCTTTTGAAGTTGAATACTAACTTTAACATACTACAATAACATGCCTACACTTAGTTTGTTAATCTTAATGATAAATATAAAAATGATTGGTCTGTTAATGTCTACTACATAATGTCTAGTGAACTATTCTGTCATTCACAGTTAATGCTAATATTAGCACATGGCAACATGCTTGTTAAGATCCAAAACATGTGGGATATTACTGTGTAATGTTGAGCATGCTAATATGCTCTGCATTTCTATCCTACTTGTGGAAATGTAGGCAGAAATTGTAGGTGGAAAACTAGATTTTATTATTTGTCAGTTGTTCCTGGTACAAACTGCTGAACTGATCTTAAGAGCTACGTGGGTAAAATTCCCAGAGGCCTGATGGGAAATGTGGTTTAATGACAGAAATATGTGGACAGATGAGATAATAGTCATGATACTGAGCAAAATTTTTACAGGAAGTTGTTGAGGTTACCTGACGGAGGTTCTTGCAGTCCAGCACCGCCACAAGGCAGCGTTGTCCCTCCAGCCGAGGGGTGAAGGACTCTGTCCAGGTGATCGAAGCCTGAGCATCAATGACACTGAAACACACACACAGACAGGTATAAATACACCTGAGGCAAACATCAGTCAACATGTCTTCACAGGTGTGTGTGTACCTGTAGTAATGTGTCCTGTCACTCATGAGTCCTGATCCCTCCATGGACAGGTTGACCTCCTGCAGGGGGAAGTTGAAGGGGTTGGTGAAGGAGACCATCACAAACATCTCCTTCTGCACCTGAGGCTGGCCACTCACCTAGAAACACAGAAGAAGAAGTAGTAGTAGAAGAAGAACAACAACAACAGAAGCCTGGAGTAAAAATCTTTTTCAAGGCATATTTTTCTACAAATACACAAGGTGGGCCTACTTCTCAGTATTTTCCATTACTGCAGGCTATTACATAGGATTATTGCTACAAAGACTAAATGCTTTAGTAAGGTTGCTGCACCCTAAACTTCATATTGCTTAACTTAGACCTGTTGTGCTGGTTCGTGGACACTATTTTGTGCCATCTAGTGGTAGCAAAATACACAACTCCATGTTCACACAAGATGGCAGCCATCTCAGCCAGAATCTACAGCAGATTCTGATCAAATGTTATAGTTGAAACGTGTTTAATATTGCTTAATGACATTTGTAGTTTGATATGACTTAGAAATGTGACCAGTTTTAGAAATAGCAACAAACTAAAACGCTGTTTATTAGGAAGTACTAGTCTCAGGACATTGAGACTTCATTATTGTATTATCAGTGCATTTCACACAGTGAGGTGTGACAGACTAGTCCTATAGACAAAGGACATTCATAGTACGGAGTATGGAGCAAGGAAAATTCATACAGAGTGACAAAATGAACACATCACATTTAGATATGTTGCATTATTTGGAATTTTGTTTTTGAACAGCCATGTCCAGGTATTTACATGAACAGTTTTGAACAGTTTTAGACTTGAATGGTGACCTCTAACCCATAGAATTACAAAACATTGAACAAATGTGGCATGTTTACAATTTAGTTTTTGCAAAGCAATGTTCAGGCACTGAAATGAACTGTGTTATACTTTATAACACACCTGTGACTTTTAAAAATAAACCTGTGGTCCTCATATGAGGACATTCTATTTTCCAAAACAACTTACTGTCCAAAGACAGTGCTTAGTTTTTTATACTTATCAGGTCCAACTAACCCCAAATAACTGGGAAAAATTAAAAATGCATGCTAAACAAAAGCTGAGGTCTCAGGAGGATTTTCATGTATTTCAGTTGTAATAATAGTGGAGTTTAGTGTTAATGTCGGGTAAATATCGAGTATGCTTTTAGATAATCGTGATTATTATGATTATTTTTTATACTATAAAATGAATATTTTGTTAATTTTTTCCCTGACAGCACACAGGATTGTGTCCCTTTTGTTTAAAGAATCCCAGTTTTGGAGATTTTCCTAGTTTTAAAATTGATGATCATGGAGAAAAGCATCTCTAAAACCTACTGCTTACACAAAACCTGATGTGGAGGGACAGAGAAAGCTAAAGTTAGCAACAGAAATATGTGTAATTTTTTATAAAGTTATTTTTATCATCTTGAAAAAAAATGTGTCTCACTTAAAAAAATGTTGCCATATTATTGCAAGTGTACTATTGATTTTAATAAAAGGACAGGATTTTAAAAAATATAATTTGCTTAAGATAGATTTCCTGTCAAAATAAATGCAAGTAAAAGTAAGTAAAAGTCTGTGGCAAAGTTGTAGCCTATATTCTACATAGGACAGAAGTTGCCAAAATCAAAACTAAACTAATTGATGACTCAGTAAATTATGGAGTATGTCATTAAATGTAACAAAATATTATTTAAAACAAATGAAGGCATCAATTAATTGATAAAAAGTCACATGAATTTATATTTCTGTTTAAATCTGCATTTTCATTTATCTACCTTTGTGTTAATTCCCCTATTATTTACTTTTCTATTTAATTCCTTTTAATATTTGGTTATTTATTTATTTATTATAAAAATTAAATATTTTTTGGAATCAATAATAAATAAAATAAATATATTGTCAAATGTATAATGTATTAATTTTTATTTTTTTTAAAAAATGTGTTTATGGATTATTTTGCCTTTTGCAATGACCCTCCTATTTATTTTCTCAAACTCATTTATGTCTGTTTTATTATTTAAATACATTTCTCAATGCTTTTATTTCTTCATCATGCAGTCGATGGGGCTATCATTCAAAGTGTGTCATGGCATCACCTTTTTGCCTAATGGTTGATCGACGGAGTGCAAAGATCAACTATGCATGCCTATATTTATTCATGTACATTAGAATAAATATGCACAAGGTTACTAAAGTCATGTAGAGATGCTTTTATCTGATGCCTGATTTGTGTGCTGTGTGTTTTACCGTCAGGGTGAGCATCGGAGTCTGCAGCTCGACCACCTTGATGGAAGTCACTGATTGGTCGTCAGCTGTTCCAGTCACAGTAAAGTGCAAACACTGCTGAGAGCCTAGGTGAGGCAGGTACTCCTGAGCCGGGAACTTCAGCATTTCACTCTTTACTGCAACACACACACATTCACAAATCCTGATTGTAACAGAATTTAATTCTAAAAACCACACATACACAGAACCTTCCTCTTTGATGTCACTCACTCCCATGGGGTGGCACGGTGATGTTGAAGGTCAGGTCTTTCAGGTGACTGGCTCTGACTCCGGTGTAGAAGATGACGGACGCGGCCAGGTGAGTTTGGACTGTCATGGGGTATTCACTCTGGCTGTGGAAATCCACCTGCAGGTTCACATCTTGACCCAGGAGGACCTGCGGAGAGGAGTACAGAGTACAAGTACCTTGAATTTGTACTTCAGTACAGCACTTGAATAAATCCACCACTGTTTAAAGGATGGTGGGATGTAGGGAAATTATGGGGCCATTGTTGTTGGACATTAACAGTAAACAGCCAATTTGCTGCAGTTGATTCCGTGAAGTTCATTTTTATTTCAACTTAAGAACCGGAAATGGTAAGCTTGAGTTTCAAACAGCAAAGTACTGTAGAAAGTACAATTCTGAGGTACTTGTACTTTACTTGAGTATTCATTTATTTAACAGTATACTTTCAATCCACTACATATCAGAGGGAAATATAACAACTTATTACTTGACTAAGTTTGCCAGCCTTCGTTACTACTCAGATTATTCATACAAATAATCAATCTATTAACAATATACAGTATATGAAGAAATTAAAATAAGCTCCAACTTTACAACATTAAAAGTGATGAACACATTAATGCATTAATAATTATAATCCAGTTATATAACATGTATTATTCTGATATAAACTATTCTGCATAATGAGTACTTTTAGCTTTGGGAATTAAAGAATTTTTTAATGCTAACACTTTTATACGTTTATGTAAGTAAAATTAAAATTTGCATGTAACAGTATTTTGGTACTGTGGTATTACAACTTTTACTTCTTCTGCCACTAGTCTTTAAAGTTATACACAAGATGAATGGATGGATGGATTGATGGATGAATAAATGGATGTGCTCACATATGGGTAGGTACAGAGATGCATGATAAATGAATACATGAATGGATGGACAGATTCATGTACACAAAGGTTGATGGATGGATGCTAGACTGATACACAGATGGATGAATGTAAATATTGACAGACAGATGTGTGGACAAATGTGCTACCTGTGGGGCATTCATGATGATAGACAGCTGGGACTCAGGCAGCTCAGAGTGATCCCTCATACAGCCGTACTCCTCCGCCCGAGCCATAATCCTGCTGTCCTCAGCACTTCCTGCAGACAGAAATCACTTCAGTACAAAATTTCAGTTCTATTTCAGTATGGGGCTCCAAAAGTAAAAAAAAAAAAAAATCTTTTGCAATTTCTTTGCTGATATATTTTGAATATTTAACTTTACTCACATTTGAGTCAAACAACATGTAATATGCATTAACAATTTGTTTTCTGTGAAAAATGTGTTAAATGTAAAGATTTTGATTTTAAATGTTAAATGTAAATCCAGATTTAAAATCTCAGTCTAAATCAAAATGTTAAATCTAAGCATTAAATTTAAATCTAAAAATTAAATCTAAATCTAAATATTAGATCTAAATACAAATGTTAAATCTAAGTTTACTTCTAGCTAAATGTGAGGAAATTGAACTAAATATCCAAAATATATCAGCAAGAATAT